ATGGGGTGCAGGGCCCAAGCACCTGGGCCATCCTCCACTGCACTCCCTGGCCACAGCAGAGAGCTGGCCTGGAAGAGGGGCAACCGGGACAGAATCCGGCGCCCCAACCGGGACTAGAACCCGGTGTGCCGGCGCCGCTAGGCGGAGGATTAGCCTAGTGAGCCGCGGCGCCGGCCATATCACAAGTCTTAAGAGAAAAAAATTATCAACCTAGAATAATGTACCCTGAAAAGATCTCATTTATGAATGAAGGTGAAAAAAAGACCTCGATAAAAATAGAAATTCAAAAAATTTGTCACCACCCGTCCAGCCTTGCAAAAGATGCTTAAGGGTGTGTGCTTCACACACAAAAAACCACAGAAACATGGTCATCACTACAAAGGAAGGTAAAGGCAGAAAATCACCCAGTAAAAGTACAAAGGACATCTGAAGTAAACAATAAGAATATTCATGGGAAAAAGGCAGGACAAAGTCATGACTTATCAATAGATACCTTAAATGTAAATGCCCTCAATGCTCCAGTTAAAAGACACAGATTAGCTGAATGGATTCAAAACAAAACCCATCTATTTGCTGCCTACAAGAAACATATCTCACCAACAAAGATGCAAGCAGACTGAAAGTGAAAAAATAGAAAAAATTTTCCATACTAAGAGAAACCAAAAAAGGAGCTGGTGTAGTCATTCTAATATCAGACAATAGACTTTAACACAAAAACTGTTAAAAGAGACAAACAAGGGCACTATGTAATGATTAAGGGATCAATAGTAACTATTATAAATGTATATGCACCTAAGTACAGAGCATGTGGCTATTCAACAAATGTTACTGGATCTAAAGGGAGACATAATGGGGGACTTCAATACCCCAATTTCAGCAATGGACATGTCAACAAGACAGAAAAATCAGCAGGGAAACTACAGAGTTAATCAACACCATAGACCAAATGGACCTAAAGATATCTACAGAAATTTAGATCCTACAGTTGCAGAATACACATTCTTCTCACCAGTGCATGGAACTTTTCTATTGACCACATGCTAGGCCATAAAGCAAGTCCCAGCAAATTCAAAAAAATCAAAATGATACCATGCACCGTCTCAGACCACAGTGGAATGAAGCTGGAAATCAGCAACTCAGGAACCCCTAGACAATATGGAAACACATGGAGAATGAACAACATGCTCCTGAATGAATAGTGGGTCATAGAAGAAATCAAAAGAGAAATAAAAAACTTTCTGGAAATAAATGAAGATGACAATTCAACATATGGAACTACACAGAGGTTTAAAAAAAATGAAATCCGGTCATTTGCAACAAAATGGATGAATCTGGAAAACATCATACTTAGTGAAATAAGCCCGTCCCAAAGGGACAAATACCAAATGTTCTCCCTGATCTGTGATAACTAACTGAGCACCTAAAAGGAAACCTGTAATAGTGAAATTGACACTTAACAGCCCTTGTTCTGTCAAGGAGCAGGTTTTTTGTTTGTTTGTTTGTTTGTTTGTTTTCTTAATGGAGAAAGGAACTGGGAATGGGAGAGGGAGGAGAAGGTGGGTGGCCTTGGGGCTGGGAGGGTATGATGGGAAGAATCACTATATTCCTAAGTTTGTAATTATGAAATTTGAACTCGTTAAATAAATGGTTTCTTAAGGAAAAAATAATACAGTTAAGAGGTTCAACAGCAGAAAGATCAAGCAGTAGAAAGCATTTGTGAACTCTGAAGATAGGTCAATTGAAATACTTCAATTAGATTAGAAAAAAACCTTTTAATTATAAAGCCTAGAGACTTATGGGTCACAATAAAAAAAGAAATTATGGTCTATGTACACTATGGAATACTACACAGCAGTAAAAAAAAATGAAATCCAATCATTTACAACAAAATGGATGAACCTGGAAAACATCATACTTAGTTAGTCAAATAAGCCCGTCCCAAAGGGACAAATACCATATGTTCTCCCTGACCTGTGATAACTAATAGAGCACTTGAAAGGCATCTGTAGAAGCGACATTGACACTTTGAGAAGCAATGACTTGAACAGCCCTGCCTTGACTGTTGAAGAACAGGGTTTTTTTTTAACACTATTTGTTGAACTCTTTACTTAACACAGTTAATCATATACATATGTACACATATAAAGATAATTGAAAATAGATCTTAGTAAAAAATAAGAATAGGAATAAGAGAGGGAGGAGGAAGAGGGGTGGGAATGTGGGTAGGAGGTGGGCACAAGAGAAGAATCACTATATATCTAAAGTCATAATTATGAAGTGCACAAAGTTTGTAAATATAAAATTGTATAGTTTTGAATACATTCCTGTAGACTTCCTTCTGAGAGTACAGTTTAAAAACTTGCCATGGGACCCCAAATCCCCTTATGTTTGGGGGTAAAAGTATCATCTTAAGTGTCAAAATGATCACATGGATAGGATTGTGTCTGGTAAAAACAATGGATAGAATTTACAAGGAGTGAATGCTGCAACAAATTAGGTATCCCCCTTTGGGATGGTTTTTTGTTTTCTCAGGAGCAAGCCTCTCAAGTTAAAGGATTGTAAATCAGGTCTTTTGTCCCTGGGTGACTGAATGCCAATCTGATTGTCAATTTCTTTCCCTTTGACATTGTACTTAGAAGCCCCAGTGCCACGGGGTCCTTTGGGTTTTGCTTCTCTTGCAGCCCTCTCCGTGCCACTCTGGCTGGAGGTCTTTGACTCTAATAAATCTTGCTTTTAAATCTTTAAAATAAAATAGTCACTAGTAACCACAGGGCGTATCTCATTGTTTACAAATCCTCATCTGGAAACAAGGCTATTCATCCTCCTTACCTTGTGTCCCCACTCTCTAGCCAATGCCATTTATAGTAACAATTTGACCCAGTTCCTAAGAAATCTTTTTTTTTTTTTTTTTTTGACAGGCAGAGTTAGACAGTGAGAGAGAGAGAGACAGAGAGAAAGGTCTTCCTTCCGTTGGTTCATTCCCCAAATGGCTACTATGGCTGATCCAAAGCCAGGAGCCAGGTGCTTCTTCCTGGTCTCCCATCCAGGTGCAGGGGCCCAAGCAACTGGGCCATCCTCCACTGACCTCCCAGGCCACAGCAGAGAGCTGGACTGGAAGAGGAACAACCGGGACTAGAACCCAGCGCCCATATGGGATGCCAACGCCATAGGCAGAGGCTTAACCAAGTGAGCCACGGCACCAGCCCTTTTCTTTGTTCTTTACATGTACAATAATTTACATTTGCGGAGGAACTACTAAGAGTCAGACATTGTGCTAAAACTTGTACACACATTTTTTAATTCTGTACCACACTTTGAAGTAAATATGTCATCCATTTAATTATTTGGAAGAGAGAGACAGACACAGAGAAAGAGAGAGAGATCTCGCATCCACTGATTCACTCTCCAATTGCCTACAACAGCTGGGCCTGAGCTAGGCCAAAGCCAGGAGGTGGGAAATCAGTCCAGGTCTCCCATGTGAACAGCTGGTACCCCAACTACTTGGGTCATCACCTACTGTTTCCCAGGGTGCCCATTAGCAGGAGGCTGGAATCAGGAGCAAATAGGGACTCGATCCAGACACTCTGGTATGGACTGTGGGTGTCCCAAGAGACATCTCAACTGCTGCACTGCATGTTTGCTTCCATGTCACCACTACTATGAACAACGTTCTGGAGGTACTAACCAATTCACGGGCAAGAGACACAGATGGATGTTCAAAAATTGGAAAAATCTAAGTGTAAAAAATATTATTTGTAGCCGAGATAATACATCTCAAAAACTCAAGAAAATAAACTGAAAAACTTTCACATTTGAATACAGTAATTTGGCTGCATGCATAATTCAAACATTTAAATAAGCGGTTCAAATACTCATACAATAAGACTTCATTTGCAGTATTACCAGAAAAAAATGTAAAAATACCAAGAGACACTCAGGAAAGAATATGCAAGGGGCTAGTGAAAACTTTAAAATGCTCCTGGACCATGCCCCCGACACAAAGGCTGAAGAAAAAAGACAGATTACTGCATTCTTGGATAGGAAGACCATATTAGTTGAGTTCAGCTTTACTGTTTCAACAAGTAACTCCCAAATCCTAAAAGCTTACTTAGTGATCATGCAACTAATCCATCACTGCCTTGCAGGGAGGGAGCTTCGCTGTGTTCTCTCACAGGGACAAGGCCAAGCAGAAAGAAATCACAGGCTATCATACCAGAAGAAAAAGACTATCTAGAGGGTCTCAAACCAACGACAAGCTCAGCATGGAAACGACACATACCAGTTCTGCTCGCATCTCACTGGCAACTGGGGGGAAACAGCGATAATAACTATCTCAGACTCAGCACCATAAACATACAACCACCACTTGGAACACTCACATTTCATGTCGCAGGGACTGGGTTTGTGTTTTGGTCTTTCTCTCAGTTCAACCTCTGTTATAATGTGCACCTGGGAAACTGCAAATGATGGCTCAAGTAGTTGAGTCCCTGCCATCCACATGAATTGAGTTCTGTGCTCCTGACTTCAGCCAGGCCCAGTCTCTACCATTGTGGGAATTTGGAGAGAGAATCAGTATGTGGGAGGCTTTCTCTCTCCCCACCACCATCTCTCCTACAACTGAAGTACATATTCTTTAAAGAATAAAACTACAATCAATAACACAGAAATGAAGGGCCTCATCAATATACTGATCAAGAAAATAATAGAAAGTCCATGAAAGGATCCAAATAACACAAGAGTGATGACAAAGATGAAATAAAATCAGTAGAGTGAAATTTGTTTGATTTATTGAGTAGAATTGATGGTGGTGGGGCCCGTGTGGTGATGCAGCAGGTTGACCTGCTTACTGAATTAAAGGTGACTTTTTTATAATTGTGTCATGTGCCTGCTCTGTGTCTTAACATACCACTTTTTTAAGATGATGTGTTTGTCTCATAAGGAAATTGTTTGTACACAGGCATATTTGAAAGGAGAGGTGCATCTCTGACAACACGTCTCACCTGCTGATGAAACTCCTACATGTGAAGATCGAGAAGAGGCAGTGAAACCTGAGCTCCAGGAGGCCTCCGCTGTGAGCCTGTTGGAACTCAGCCCAGAGGTGAGGAGACCTGAAGAAGCAGGTGGAGAACTTAAGAACTCCCTACAATAATTTGTGAATGTGGGCTTGTCAGGATCCCAAAATGGAGCCATGACTAAAGAAAAAGTAGAAAAAGTAGAAGTTAAAAAAAGCTACGCCCCTCTGAAATCTGCCATATTAACACGTCTCACCTGCTGATGAAACTCCTACACGTGAAGATCGAGAAGTGGCAGTGAAACCTGGACATAGTATTTGGATTTGGTCATCACAGGAAATGATATGCAGATTGTGGGAGGCAGAATCCTTCTCCTGTGGAAGGCGAAGCCCGCCTCCCATAATATGGCGCTGATAAGGAGTAACCAGCTATTACACAGCTGATTCATCTTGACTACTAGAAGCCGCAGGAGCCGATTCATCCTCTCAATAGAAGAGAACGGCATGCTCGACAAGAGGACAAGCGGAGCACGGATTGGTGGAGAGGACTATATAGGAGGAGAGAGACGGCACAGTGGTGGGGGTTGGTTGGAGAGTGCGTTGGAGAGTTCGCGGGGAAATTCGTTGCTTCGTTCTTTCTCATTTCTCTCTACTCATTCTTGCTTTGGGAGTTCGCTGTTTGCTCATTCTTACTTTACTATAGAAAAGACTTGTAAAAAAAGGGAACAACAAGCGTCAGGTCCGGTGCGGCTCCTCCACGTGCGGAGGAGCAGCAGCAGATGGCTGTGAAATCTAGGGGAAATTACTAAACCTCACCCAAAACAAAGAAATACAAAGAAAACAATGAAATGCCAGATTTCCCCTTTTATACTGGCAATGAGCAAAAAGTTTGTTAATACCTCCTGGTAGTTGTTATCAAAATGTTTTTCCTTATTGGGGTGGGCATCTGGCACACCTGGGGAGGTTGCCATCACACATCAGGGTGCTTGGGTTCTGTGGCTGCTTATATCAACCATGATCTCAAAACATGTGTTCACATCTCTGCCAAAGACAGAAATGAAGGAGATGCATCTTGTATTGGCCATTCCTGATTCCTTTAAAAAGGTCTCTTTTTGCTATGCTACACAAGCTTCCATCCTACAGATCTTCTATAAAAGATTCTTTCGGAACATACGCTCTCACAAATGTGAATATGCTTCTAGGGCGATGAGGAAGGATATTTGATATTGGGACTACACCAGAAAACTAAATACATAACTACACCAGACCATTAGAGAATTAGTTATCTGGAATGCTGGATCAGCCATAGGCAATGTCCTCGGGGAGCAGGTATCCCAGGTGAACCGTGTCCATATGAAGTGTCTCCATTATGAGATTCCTAGATATTGTGTGTAGCACAGAAGATTCTGTGGCCCGATTTATAGCATCAGGATCTTTGAGCTTCCATATCAATGAAATATTAACTGTTCAAGATCTTGGGGAGACAAGGGGCACCATCATCTTGAATACTTCCATTTGAAACCAGAATTACTATTCATTGCTTGTCTGCAGGAGGCAATGGAGACGTCTTGTCCCTTTTAGAAGCTGGCACCTTTGATGTTTTGGGTACTTGAGTAGAAAGAGGAGGTGGTGATGTTCCTGGCTTCCTCATTGAGTGGAGGGTCCCCTCATCGCTGTCAGGTGCTGATGGTATTGCAGGAAAGTGACTGGTAACCTGGGAATCCATTTCGGAAGAGCCTTGAGTTTGTCCATAAGTGTCAGAGACCCCTAAGATTTGGGTGTTCTTAGCAAAAGGAACACGGGCTGTCTTGAAACCAGGCTGGACAAATGACGTGTGTGTTGATCTTTTCTTTCTCGTGGAAGAGGACATGCCTTTCTGGGGCCTTCCAGGGGCAGAGGCAGTCCCCAACACGGGTGGATGTCCAGAGGTAGGAGGGGTCCCCAAGAGGGCAACTTGCCCAGGGAGAGCTGACGGGGTCACAGGCTGCCCAGTGGCAGAAGGGGCCTGAACAGGGCGAGATTGCTCAGTGGGAAAAGGAGGCTGGAGTGCCTGAGGCTGCCCAGACAAGAGCCCTCCAGGGTTCAACGAGGCCCTGGGTGCAAAGGATTGCCCAGGAGAGACAGGAGCCCGGAGACTGGGAGTCTTTTGAGGGACGGGCAGGACTCCAGATTTAAGAGGCCACCTGGGTGTGAGAGGAGCCTTCAGTCTTGGAGTTGGCCGGGGAGTCGGAGGCCCCCTAGACGGCTCAGCACTAAGAGTGTGGTGCTTTCCCAGGGGCTGTGGGTAAACGGGAAGGACCCCACGGGCTGATGTCTGGGTCATTTCTTCTGTGTTGTTCTCAATCTCTTCTATTTTGGTGTCATTACTGTTGGCCTCTGGCATACTCCGTGCAATGTTAGTCTCCCTGAAATTTGATCCAAAGGTTTCTTGGACACGGGGGCCTCCTGTGTGTTGTCCTTTATCGCCAGTGCTGTTAGGAATCTTGTCATGTTTTGGCATGTATGTTGGATCTTCAGTGACAGCTCCGGGAAGCCTGTTTTCTTTGTCTTCAGGTCTGCAGCACCTGTCCGGTGAAATCTGGGGTCATCTCAGCCGGGGCTGTATATGCAAGTGCAGAGTCCCCGTGTACCCCAGAGGCTTCAGTCTCCCTTACCTCACACTTCTCGCCTACATTTTCAAACTCCTTGGCCAAAGTAATGTCGTCGTCACCAGCTTTATGAATGCTCCTGGATGTGGTCAATGACATAGATTTGTTCCTGTCTAGTGCAGATTTGTACTTTTCTTCTGCCTCCTCAAGTTTTCATTGCAGCACCTCATTCTGCTTGCTGAGGTCTTTAATGATCCTTTGGGAGAGCTCTTTTTCAGATTCGTATCTCTCAAAACACATTCTGTTCCCTATGATATTTGCAACTTTCAATTCTTCCGTTAGGGCACTCAAGGCTTTTGAGAGATTTAATATTGTAGATGCTATATATTTAATTCCATTCTTTTCTAATTTATTGAACATCCCTGTGCCGATGAGTTCTTGCAACATGTTCTGGATTTCGGAAACTTTGGTTGTGGTGGTGAATGGATCGGCAACCACCTGGTCTGGGCGTAGAGCGTCTGCTGCTGCGGGACGCTTTATAATTCTTGCTTTCCATGTTTTCCACAGACCAGCTCTGGATACTGGGTGAAAAACACATCAAACAATGAGACTGCATGTCTTCTTTTGTGCTATGCCCTTTCTTGTTTAAGCCTGAAGAGTTTACACAAAAGGAACAGATAACTGTCATGCGAATATTGATCAGAAAACTTCAGCTGAGGGCAGTGAGGTGGCCCAGAAGATTAAGCCACCGCTTGGGACTCTGGCATCCCAGTTCAGAGTGTTGGTTTGACTTCCAGATGCCCTGCTTCTTTTTTATAATATTTATTTATTTATTTGAGAGGAGGAGTTACAGACAGAGGGAGAGAGAGAGAGAGAGAGAGAGAGAGAATGTCTTCCATCCACTGGTTCATTCCCAAATGGTTGAAATGGCCAGAGCTGAGCTGATCTGAAGCCAGGAGCCAGGAGCTTCCTCTAGGTCTCCCACGTGGGTGCAGAGGCCCGAGCAGCTGGACCGTCTTCTGCTGCTTTCCCAGGCCATAGCAGAGAGCTGGATCGGAAGAGGAGCAGCCGGGACTTTAACCAGTGCCCTAGGGATGCCAGTGCCGCAGGTGAATGCTCAGCCTACTACGCCATAGCATCAGCCCCTACCCTGCTTCTGACCCAGCTCCCTGCTGACGCGCCTGGGAAGGCACTGAGGGATGGCCAAGTACGGGGATCCCTGCTGTCCACATGGGAAGCCCAGACGGGGTTTCAGGTTCCTGGCTGTGGCACAGTCCACCCCTGTCCTTTGTGTACACTTGGGCAGTGAGCCAGTGTCCTCTCTCTCTCTGTGCCTCTCCATTTCTTCTCTGTCACTTTGCATTTCAAAAATACAGATCTCTAACAAAAGATAAACGAGAACAGAAGCTGCAAAACAAACAGTATTGTGTCTAAGAGAACCACTGTGTTCCCACAGCTGTCTAGAGCTTCTGCTTCCAGAGTTAAGGCAGCAGGTCCTTTTAGCTTTTTCTTTTGTGTTCGTGTCTCTCTTTTCTACCTTGTCTTACTTTGGTTGAAACTTTGGTTCTTTCAAAAGGGCCATCAATCAACAAAGATTTAAAGAATGGCTGAATGAGATACCCAGCAATTTTCCCCAGAAAAAGTGATTCTACTCCTTACTTGCAGAACAATATGGTCAGTGGTGCATTAACCCTGTGATTATATAGCAAATTCAAGTATGTTATTAAAAACTTAAAGGAGTAAAAGAAAAGGAAGGACGAGGGATTGAGGGAAGAAGGGAGGGAAGGAAATATGTTTATCTTCTTAGAATTTTAACTATTGAAATGTATGAAATTGATTCTCTTTATATGAATAAAAAGATTTAAAAATAAGCGAATGAATAAATGTTAAAAAAAAAAAAAAGCAATGACAAGTGTTTTGATCCATGGCATCCATGTGGGAGACCTGGATAGTCAGACTTGTACTGAAAGAAAAAAATCCCCCAAAATCCAACTAGAAGTGATACCTTAAATTCAGAGACACAAATAAATCGGAAGTAAAATTATAGAAAACGATATACTCTGAACACAGTAATCACACAGGAGCTGAGGAGACAATATTAATTTTTTTTTGACAGGCAGAGTGGACAGAGAGAGAGAGAGACAGAGAGAAAGGTCTTCCTTTGCCGTTGGTTCACCCTGCAATGGCCGCCGCGGCCGGCGCACCGCGCTGATCCAAAGGCAGGAGCCAGGTGCTTCTCCTGGTCTCCCATGGGGTGCAGGGCCCAAGCACTTGGGCCATCCTCCACTGCACTCCCTGGCCACAGCAGAGAGCTGGCCTGGAAGAGGGGCAACCGGGACAGAATCCGGCGCCCCGACCGGGACTAGAACCCGGTGTGCCGGTGCCGCAAGACGGAGGATTAGCCTAGTGAGCCGCGGCGCCGGCGACAATATTAATATCTGACAAAACAGGTGTTAACACATAAATGAATCTAAACACAATGAGGGATAATTTGTCAACAAGATATAATTATTATAAACATTTTTACAGCCCTTGTCTCTATTGTTGAGGAAGTGGTTTTTCTTCTTACTATTTGTTGAACTCTTAGTGTAGGGTTAAACTTACAAGTATAAAGTAAACTGAAAGTAGATCATTGTAAAAATTAAGAGAGGGACTAAGAGAAGAAAGGGTGGCAGTGTGGGTGGAAGGGAGTTTAGGGTGGGAAGACTCACTATGTTCCTAAATCTGTATATATGCAATATAAAAAGCTCATTCACCTTAAAAATTTTAAATTTAAAAAGCCATGGGCGGCGCCGCGGCTCACTAGGCTAATCCTCCGCCTGCTGCACCGACATACTGGGTTCTAGTCCTGGTCGGGGCGCCGGATTCTGTCCCGGTTGCCCCTCTTCCAGTCCAGCTCTCTGCTGTGGTCCAGGAGTGCAAGTGGAGGATGGCCCAGGTCCTTGGGTCCTGCACCCGCATGGGAGACCAGGAGAAACACCTGGCTCCTGGCTTCAGATCAGCATGGTGCACCGGCTGCAGCAGCCATTGGAGGGTGAACCAACGGAAAAGGAAGACCTTTCTCTCTGTCTCTCTCTCTCACTGTCCACTCTGCCTGTCCAAAAAAAAAAAAAAAAAAAAAGAATTCTTTTTTCTAAAGTTATACTAAATGGAGTTGTGTAGACTGCAAATTGACCAGGGACTACGAATAGAAACCATCAACAGGCCCACACATATACAGAAGGTTGATTTATGAAATAATCATTTTGGGGCCGGAGCTATGGTGTAGTGGGTAAGGCCGCCACCTGCAGTGCCGGCATTCCTTATGGGCTCCAGTTCAAGACCCTACTGCTCCACTTCCAATCCAGCTCTCTGCTATGGCCTGGGAAGGAACTAGAGGATAGCTCAAGTCCTTGGACCCCTGCACCCACATGGGAGACCTAAAGGAAGCTCCTGGCTCCTGGCTTCGGATCGGCACAGCTCCGGCCATTGCGGCCATCTGGAGAGTGAACCAGCGGATGGAAGAACTCCCTCTCTCTCTCCGCCTCTGCCTCTCTGTCACTATGCCTTTTAAATAAATAAATCTTTAAAAAGAAAAAAAAATCAGTTTTACACATCAGTGGGGAGAGGATGACCTTTTCACTAAATGGTGCTGGGGCACCCAATTACCCATATAGAAAAAATATTAAATTGAAAGTCTACATTGTACTTTCACAAAAAGCAGTTTAGCATAGGCTTAAGAAATATGTAAGAAGGAAAATGATAAAGATCTTATGAGATTCTAAAGAATATATTTATAAGCTTAGATATGAACTAATCCCCCATGAAGCCAACTTGTATCCAGCTTTATATCTTACTTTTATTGTTTTAAAGATTATTATTTATGGGGCAGGCACTGTGGCGTATCAGGGAAAGTTGCTGCCTGCAATGCTGGCATCCCATGTGGGTGATGGTTCAAGTCCCGGCTGCTCTACTTCCAATCCAGCTCTCTGCTATGGCCTGGGAAAGCAGTAGAAGGTAGTCCAAGGTGCTATGGCATGGAAAAGCAATGGAAGATGGCCCAAGTCCATGGGCCCCTGCACCCACATGGGAAGAGTTGGAGGAAGCTCCTGGCTCCTGGCTTTGGATCGGTGCAGCTCCAGCCTTTGCAACTAATTGGGGAATGAAGCAGTGGATAGAAGATTCTCTCTTTCTCTGCCTCTCCTTCCCTCTGTAACTCTTTCAATTAAATAAAAAAAAAAAACTTTCTAAAAGATATTTATTGTTTGAAGGTAGAGTTACAGAGAGAGGGAAGACAGAGAGGAAGGTCTTCCATCTGCTGGTTTACTCCTCAAATGGCCACAAAAGCTAGAGTTGAGCTGATCTGAAGCCAGGAGCCTAGGGCTTTTTCGAGGTCTCCCACGTGGGTGCAGGGGCCCAAGCACGTAGGCCATCTTCCCCTGCTTTCCCAGGCCATTGCAGAGAGCTGGATTAGAAGAGGAGCAGCTGGGACACAAACTGGAGCCCTTATAGGATGCCAGCACTGCAGGCAGAGGCCCAGCCTAGTATGCCACAGTGCCAGCTCTATTATGATACTTTGCAAAAACACTTACTTCTAGCACGTTAGGATACAAAGACAGCCTATAAAAAGTTACAACTCCCACTCTCCCACCCCAGAGAAATGACCATAAAAGTAGTAGTATCAGGGGTGGGTGTCGTGGTGCAGCAAGTTAGGCCACCACTTGGAATATCCACATCCCATATCAGAGAGCCAGTCTGAGCCCTGGCTCCTCCCCTTGCAATCCAGTTTCCTACTAATACATCCAAAGAGGCAGAAGATGACGTGTTCTGGTTGGACCCCTGCAACACACTGGGAGATCCAGATGGATTCCAGGCTCCTAATCTGCACTCAGTCCTGGCTGTTGGCACGTGAACCAGAAAATGTAAGATCTTTCTTTTCTCTCTCTCTCTCTCACGCTCTCCTGTGCTACCCTTCAAACAGATGAACAAGAACATTTTTAACTTGGAAATATTTTTTGTTTCTGCTTTGAACAAGAAAAGTTTTCAGATGGGGGTACACTGTATATTAGGCATGTACAAGGTTTTTACATGCCAAATCCGACATGGAGGAAAAGCATTAAAACCTGCACAATTATCCACAAGATGAATTAACAACTTAAGGCAAATTTCTGATCTTTTGAGTGATATTTTTCTGTTATCATCAGAAAACCTGGCTTTTTTTACCAGTGCAATTAGTTTTGAAATATTGATTTGAGCAGCAGAGAGAGAATGAACGAAGACATAGACAGACACACAAGGAGAAAGTTCTTATCTACTTGTTCACTCCTCAAATGACTCTAACAGCTGGGAATGGGCTCGGTTGAAGTGAGCAACCAGGAACTCAATCAAGTCATCCCATGCAAGTGGCAGGAACTCAACGCCTTGAGCCATCATGACTATCTGTCATGGTCAGAGATAGTCGGATGCTGGAATAAAGAGCCAAAGCTGGGTGCTGAGCCCAGGTACTCCCGTGAGGGACATCAGTATCCTAGCTAATAACTTAACCATTGGGCCAAAGGCCTATCCCAATACAGTTGACTTTTGGGGTGTAAGACCATATCAA